CACATCTGAGCTGGTGGCCAGCAGGCTAGGGGCCAAGGCTGAGGTGCAATGCTTGGACTGTGTAGCTTTTGCCCCACACTTCAATCCAAGCTGCTGTGGGCTCCTCTGTTGTAAAGGACAGTTTGTTCCCAAGTGAGGCAGTCTGCATTCTTTCCGGCTAGAGGTGCCCTGGAATCAATGCACATGTGTTTGCTCTGCTTCTTTGGTCACTGAGCACCTACTATGTGCCAGGCTCTGTCCCAGGTGCTTGGGATACAGCCATGAACAAAATAGGACAAAGCTTCCTGTCCTTTAGGCTTTCAGGTTCTACTGGGTGACAGACAATTACATGGTTAGCAAATTATATAAAACATTGGAAGATGATAAAGGCTCTTGGGAAAATAAAGCAGGAAAGAAGTGGGGGAGGGCACAATTTTATGCAGGAAGAAGTTATCCCAACAAACCCAGTTTTCAGGTAAGAAAACTGAAACTCAGAGAGGTGCAGTAACTTGCCCAAGGTCACACAGCAAGGAATAGAACTGGTGTCCACTGAGCCCCTGTGCCCTGACAGACCTGGTCTACTCTTCCATCCACCTTCCCTGAACCCAAAGACCCAGCAGGAGTCTGTCTCTACTGGCCCCCTCCCAAGGTCAGTTTGATTCTCTTTCATGTCTGCTACAATAGGAGTACCACCCTGTCCCTTTATCGTAGAAGGGAAAACTGAGGCTAGAGAGAAGGGCCATGCCTAATGAAGACCACCCAGTGGGAAGTTAGCACTCAGGCCTCTGCCCAGGGCTGCCCACAGACCCTGGCTGGGGTTGTCATGGGGCTCTTTACCTTACCCCAGCTTTGTTTATCCTCTCTGGGCTGCCACTGTCACCTTTGCTGCCACAGCCACCAGGCCAGAAAAACCTGCCGGGCAGGACTGACTGCTGCTAGCATCGGGCCTGACCTGATCCTTGGGACTTTCCCAACAGCCCAGGGGATGAGCCCAGTCCCTCATCTCCACCCCACCCCCCACCCCATAGGTGGGTGTGGGGGTCACACACAGAGACAAATGCAGCCATGGCTGCTCAGAGAGGGACGCACACATAGTCACTCACACAAAGCAGGGTGAGAGACACTCCTATGCCCAGGCACAATGAAGACAGGCAGCTGGCACATGCAGGCCAGGACATACACCTCAGGCACTGCCCGCTGTCATGGACCATCTTCATGTACTCCCTCTTCTGGCCATGCCCGGGCTCAGACACCCTTCCTCCCCCAGCTCAGGAGGGCTCACCCAGCAGGGCTGTCTGCACTCAAGCCATCCCTCCCAGTTCAGGGGTCATCTAGACTCAGACTCAGTTCTCCCTACGTACCCTGCAGCCCCTATGTGCCCTGTAGCTCCCCTGGGTCTGGAGGTGGGGGTCAAGATCTGGAGAGTCCCCAGAGGACAACCCTTGGACTAAGTGGTTCTCAGACACCTCAAAGCTTTACCCAGGACTTGAAGGATGGCTAAGGCCAAGAACAGGCAGAAAAAAGGGAAAAAGTGTTCCTGATGAAAGAGTATCAGGTGAGGGTCTGGGGAGTCTGGGAGACAGGCTGGCTGGGAGAGAGAGGCTGGCCCAATTACTGAGTCCTCGGGGTCCTCAACTGGACATGGCCCTGCCTGGCCTCAGACAGGTGTGGTTACGGATTAGGCCAGGGGCTGTCCCAGCAGCAGGGGCCACACCCAGGACACACACAGCAAGCAGCAGCATTACCAGCATGGCTGCCCCTGGCTATGAGCAGGCCTCTCTACTCTCCCAGCCTTGTTCTTTTCACTATTGAACAGGAAGCTTGGACCAGGTGGGAGAAGGGACAAGAAGTGTACACGCATAGGCGCAGGGCTAGAACATGCAAGCTCCCAGGTTTGAAAATTCTGGAATTCTCAGGTTGGAAGATTCTAAATTCCTGGTCTCTTGACTCTTTCCCACATCTCATCTCCTGTTCTCTACTCCCTGACCCTCCTATAAGATCAGGGAATGCTTTGTTCTGGATAACTTTCTAGGTAACCGAGGATAACCTTCAAACGCCAAAAGTTCAAAGTTGTAGCCATTTGGGGTTGAGATCTTTTTCAAACCTACCACACCCTATCTTCCCCCTTACCAAGAGGAAAGGCGCCACCCATACCCCAGGCTCCTCCTTGGGACCAGCACCAAGTCCGGGCCTTCAGCTTCTGCACCAGATGGCCCAGATATGGAGTCACTGGGGTCCCTATTTCCTGGCTTCTCACCTGCCTGGCCATTGGTCTCCTCACTCTGCTGCTTGGTGTGACACTCCACCCATGCACCACAGCCAAATCCAGGGGCCAGGGAACTCTGTGCTCCCAGGTCCAGGGCACTAGGAAGTCACTGAGCTCAGAGGCTGCCTCAAATGAAGGCCCCTGGGAGCTGCAGGCCAGACAGTAGGAGGCACTATCTGCTTGCCCACCCTCTTTCCCATCCCAGTAACATGGACACGTGTCCCACAGCCGACAACATCAATGGCTTAGTGACCTGGGAACAGTGCTTGCTGATGGCACATGAGGGTACAAGGATCATTGCTCCACCCGGTCACAGAGCCTCAGGCATTTTCTGGCCTCAGTTCTTATAGAGGGAACTGAGAGCTAGACACATCTGGAGAGAACATAGGGCCTGTTTCAGGGTCTGGACAGCTGGAGGGCTGGAATCACAGCTCAGAGTTGACAGAAGAGGGTTTTAAGAACAAAGCACCCCCATGAGCACTTCAGCCTTGGGCTGTGACACTCCATTTCCTCAGTACAGCCTCTCCCAGCTGGGCTAGATCTTCAGGGCTTAGTCCTGCCTCCCTGCTTTCTTGGTGTCTAGTGTGCACTGTTATGAGCAGTGGGTTATAAGAAGTGGTATAAGGGCTAAGAAACCCACAGAGCCCTGACTCTGACAAGGTGCTGGAAGCAGCTCTCAGAGGTTGGGCCATTTTACCTGGGCCTTGAAGTATGAGTAGGAGTTTACCTTAAACAACTCTTTATCTTTAATCTTAAACTTTTAACAAAGCAGCACAGGAGCCCCAGGGCTGACAGGTAGAGGAAGTGAGCAGCAGGCAGGGATGGGACAGAGAGAGCAGCAGCCTGGACAGCTGGGGGCACAGACACCGCACTCCTGTTCAGGTCCTAGGAGAACTTGGACTGTGGGCCTGCAGGAACTCAGGCTATGGGCAAACCCTGGCTTATAAACACACCGTGTCCAAAATTGTTCAACAACATTTAAATTTAGAACCCAGATGTTTTTTCTTTTTACTATCAAGTTTCCAGACCAGTGTTTGGTTTTCATTTAGTCCCAAACAAAATGAGAACACAGCCTGTGGCTCAGGAGGCCAAGGGGTGATCTCTCTCCCAGTGGCTATCCTCTGCCCCCCACATACGCACCTGGCATGCCCACAGGTCCCCAGGCTTTCCCTGCTGTCAGCCCCACCAGCCACCTGTTCAGGACGCCCTCCCATGGACAGGTTCCTAAACTGGATTCTTGCCGGTGGAGAATTAGTGCTGTTCTGGGTTCTCCTGAGGATGCCAGCCTGTCCAGGTGGGTGCTGCTTTTGCGGCCCTATTGGTGGCACCTGAACAGCTGGAGTTCCAGGCCTTCCTCACTTGTGGGGAGTGCATCAGTGCCCCCCATTGGGCAGGTGAGGACATGGAGGCTCAGAATGGTGAGCTGGGGTGTCAGGTAGGCTGACTGCAGAACTGGAAAGGGTAGTTATGATTTGGCCAGGCAGAGAGAACAAGAGAGGGAGGGCCTCCTGGGGATCACAGCCTAGGTAACAACACGGCAGAGTAGGACTGGACTTGGAATTACAAATCTGGGGTATTATCAATATTACATACAATTGGAATCAGCATTATTGTTATACGATGATAACCAATCACAGAGCATTTGGCATGCAGGAGCTCAGGTATGACCCCAGTTCTGGCCTTTGTTTCTGTGTGACTCTCGGCAGCTCATGGCTGCACTCAGGACCTCAGTTTCCCCCTGTACGAAGGGCCCAGTGTGCTCCTCCTGGCCTGCATGGTGGGCCCGGCCACCCCTGCAACAGGGAGGAGAATCACGATGGTTTGTGCTGCCCATTGTCCTATCCCACACCAGCACCACCTCTGGCCTCAATCCTGCATGGCCTGTCCTGGCATGGGATACGCCACATGTGGGAAGGCACCAGGCAGGTCTCTCTGCTCAGTCCCAGCCAGAGTAGGCTCCACCCTGCTGGCCAGTTTGGGAGAGGCAGGCTGTCTCCTCAGCTGGGCTGGAAGGCATGTGAGAGGATTTGGCGGCTATGGGCTGGAAAGCTAGGCAAAGGCTGGGAGATGAGAAAGGGGCTCACTGATTGCATCAGAGAGTATATGAAGGAAATGAGGCCAGGCATGTAATCAGAGTCAGATCTTGAAGGAATGCTCCTGAAGGCAATGGGGAGCCATAGAAGGTTCTTGAGGTGGGTGTGGACATAAGTGGGAAGGACATGAAGCATCCAACACGCCTAAGCTCCTTTCACACTGGCAGGCTTTTGTCTGAGTCAGGATGCTGTTAGGACTCACTCCTCAAAGTACTGCAAGGGCTGGGAGGGGCCAGGAGAGAGAGAAGAATGTCCAGGTTGAGGGGATGTTGGAGAGAGGAGATGCTATCTGATTTAATGTTGCCAGTAAACCATAGTCAGCATTTTCTGAGCACTTACCTGGGGCCGGGGAGGGGGGTGTTATTATCAGGAAACTGAGGTCTGGAGATGTTAAGTGATTTGCCTGGTCCAGGGCCCACACCCTTAAATCCCATACTCCTCTGCCAGGGGCTACTAACTAGGTCTTACACAAAGCCAGGTCAGTGAGGCCTGGGACTCCCCTCCCCCACTTGCACCTTCTCCTGACTGCAGGTGTCACCAGGAAAGGGAAAGGCCTGGTTCCCAGTGGTGGTGAGAAGGGAGGACCCAGGGCTGTGCTGGGCTGGGAGCGGTTCCTGGCCACTGTGGGCCTGTCTGAGGTGACCATGGGCCCTCTCCCATAGCTACGGGGACCAGGTGCAGCACTTCAAGGTGCTGCGTGAGGCCTCGGGGAAGTACTTCCTGTGGGAGGAGAAGTTCAACTCTATCAATGAGCTGGTCGACTTCTATCGCACCACCACAATCGCCAAGAAGCGGCAGGTCTTCCTGAGGGATGAGGAGCCCCTGCTCAAGGTAGGTGAGCAGAGGCCAGGATGCCAGCCCAGCCCAGTGTGAGCCTCTCTGTGCCTCCTGCCACCTGCAGGGGCGATGGCACCTGGCAGGGCCAGGCAGGGGCCTGGTCTCCTTTCCTTCCCCAGCAGCCCCATGTCGGAGGAGGAGGGCTCCAGCTCAGGTTGTAAAGTTCTATTCTGGTGGCACTGCAGTGAGATAAGCAAGGGTGGGAAAGGCGAAGAGGGAAAGAAAAGGAATAGAATGAAAATTCAATGGGGCAAACCGTGTCTGACTTGTCCTCAGCAGTGCGTGGCATACAGTAGGTGCTCAATAAATTAGTGAATGAAGGTACTGACACCTACTGAGCCTGTTGTGTGCCATGCACTGAATAGGGCTCTGCACTGGGAGCTTCATCGTCCCCATTGTATAGGTGAGGAAACTGAGGCTCAGAGAGTGATGTGACTCATCCAAGGCCACCTACCAGGGAGGCTCAGTCCTGGTTTCTGCTCCTGGGGAGCTGGCTTGTGTGGGGTGTGGGGCAGTGTGAGCATTTGTGGGTGAGGTTCTGGCTGGACACGGTGTGTGTTAGGGAAAGGGGGAGGTCTTGCCACCCCTCGTCTTCACAATAACAGCAATTTGCCAGCCAGCCCTTTCATCAAGGGGCCCGGAGGACCAGCTCTCATTCTCATTAGGAGGATGACGACACCAGCCAATGGGGTTATTAGCCCCAACATGCTATTTTCCTTGGAAGGTGGGTGTTGGCAAGGTCTGGGGCTGGAGGTCAGCCCAGTTGAATTTGGGCTTTGCAGAGGGTATAGGGAGCAGGGCCATGGCCAGGGCCTGGGGAAGGACTGATGGACTGGTGCAGAGAAACTCCAGTCCTGCCCTGTTCCTAGACTCCCACTGCCTCACCATGTGTGACCTTAGGGCCAGTTCATCCCTCACTGGGCCTCAGTTTCCTCTCTGTCCAATAGGATGAGCTATGGGATCTGATATGCCAGGAGAGTTGAGCAGTGCCTCAGTAGACCCCCGTAGTGCACCCTTTATCCCACCAGGACAATTCGCCTCCTCAGCCTGACCCTGGGGGCCAGGTCAGCTGGGAGCTCTCCTGTAGGGCTCTGTCTCCCAGGCCTCCATCTCTTACCCTTGCTGCCCAGGCCAGTGCTGACGTTGAAGAGTGTGAGGGAGCCAGGATGGAGCTGAGGGAGGGTAGGGGAGCTGCCTGAGGGCTCCCTCACACTCACTGCCTCTCACTTTGGCCCAGCCCTGGGGTCACACACCCTGTGGGGTGACTCCAGAGCTGGCTTAGTCTCCTGGGACCCATGCTGCCTCCTCCTTCACGGGCAAAGAACCACTAATTACAGCCTGTCCACTGATCCTATCACCCACCCTGGATAAGATTCTGAAGGCTCAGAGCAGAGATCCTGGTGGGGCAGGCAGAGCCAGGGTGCTGAGCGTAATTGTCATGGCGCCAGGCTGACATGCCTACAGAGAGCTCTCATCCAGCTGCCATTCTCAGTTGGGGAAACTGAGTCCCACAAAGGGCAGGAACTTACTTACCCATGGTCACTTTGGGGCACAGATAAGACTGAAACCCAGACCTAAGAGCTGGGAGCAGCTCAAAGTGACATCCTCTCTCTCAAAGCCTGGCGAAAGGCAACAGAGTAAACTGTGCTCTTAGTCACACAGCACTTCACAGTTTATAAGGCCCTGTGATTCCTGTGGTTCCAGGTCCTTGAGTCAAAAGTTATCATGGCTGCTGCAGAACCAGGGAAATGAGACCCCAAAAGGGACAGGGACCTAACCAAAGTCTCTCACTGAGGACCCAGACCCAGGCTACCAGGACAGTCATGGTGTTCTATGTAGACACGATATCAGTGCGGTAGACATGCAGTGGGGTGGGCAGCAGGAGGCCATGGGATGGTGCTCATCCATCTGGCCTTGGAGGCAGAAGCAAGTTCAACCTCAACTCTGCCTCGAACATCCTGCCTTCCCCAACCTGCAGAAAATCACTTCTGTTGTTGGGGCCTCCTGAAGGGACCCCACTAACCACTTCCTTTCCTCGCAGCCACCCCGGGCCTGCTTCGCCCAGGCCCAGTTTGACTTCTTGGCCCAGGATCCCTCACAGCTCAGCTTACGCCGTGGTGACATCGTCGAGGTACTGGAGTGCCTGGACCCCCACTGGTGGCGAGGCCGCCTCTGTGGGCGTACTGGCTTCTTCCCGCGGAGCTACGTCCAGCCGGTGCAGCTCTGACCAGAGTGGGGCCTAGGGGGCAGAGTCAGCAGACCATCTGTCCACTGGATACTGAGGTCCAGAGAGAAGTCACTGACATCCCCCTTCCCTGGCTTCCACCGGGCTCAGCTGGGGCCTTGGACGGGACCGTGAGCCTCCTAATGCCGGGCCCAGGCCCTGCCCACTGCTCCACATGAACTGGGACGACCCCACCTGCCCACAACCACCATGATGTTCAGTGCCTACCAGGCAAGGTAAACTCCTGGGGTGTCACACCAGCCTCTTTCTATTGGTCACCAGATTTGTTATGTCATAAGGTGGGCTGGCAGAGGCCCTGCCCACTCCAACCAGCAGTGACCCCATCCTCATCAAGGTTCTACCCATTGGAGGCTCAGCCCAGGGAATCATGAGCTTCGTGGGTGGGTTTACCTTGAGTTGACCACCCCCTGGGCCTGCCTGCCCCTCCCTCAAATGGACTCTCCAGGTGATCTGGATATTGGGGAAGTGATTTAGGTGTAAGGGACCAGCAAGAACACTGCACACCTATTGACCTGGACTCATTAGACAGACTCCAGGTGGAGACTGACTTCTTGGCAACCCCACAATGACTTCAGGCTCCGCTTGGGCATCCAACACATCCCTACCCAACTACAGACACTTTGGGGAGGGACTGGTGGCCCTGAGACTGTGAGGAAGGGGCTGCAGTGTTGAATGAAATGGATGGAGGCAGCTGCTCCTCTTGCAATAGATAAGCTTGAGGGACAGGCCCTGGATGCAGCCCTGGGAAGATCGGCTGCCTGGCTCTTGTTTGTTCAGGCCTGGGTTCTGCCCAGACCCTGGGGAACTTGTGGGAGCTACAGGCCAAGTGGTACATTGGGGCCACAGCTGGAATCTGAGGCCCAGCAGCATTCAGAATGGGGCGGGCAGTCTGGGTAGGGACCCAGGTTGAGAGAAGACAGGGTGTACACCTGGCACGGGGGTTCTAAGCAACACCTACACAGAGGCTGGGCACCTTTGGGAGCAGGAAGAATGAGGGGAACTCAGAAAGGGCTTTGAATGCCAGGCGGGAGGCTGTGTGTGTGTGTGTGGGGGGAGCGGTTAGTGAGCAGGGATGGAGGGTGAGGAGGCACCTGTGACACTGGGAGCAGGTAGGATGGGGGGAGGAGCCCAGGGAGGGGGTTGCAGGCTCAATATGGGGAGGGCTCTCCCTCTACCCAGGGCAGACCTGAGACCATTCAGCCTCAAGCTCTGGCAGGTTGTATTGCTCCGTACCTAGACCCACATACTCAAAATAAAAACAGTAATCAAATGTAAGGATGTCCATCAGAAATCTAATTTTCTTTCCAATGATGACTACCATTTTTGAAGTATCACATTCTTTCCTCCCTAATTTTTCAGGGCACTGACCCGCCTAGTAGCCGGGAGGGGTGTCACCCTTCTGTGGACCTCGGTGTCCTCGTTAGGGAAAGGGGTTGGACCTGAGGGCTCTGAGGGCTCCTGCCTTCCTGCACGGGGGCAGCATCAGGCGAAGTAGGCATAGAAGAAGATATTGAAGCACATGAGGAGAATGGCATTAAAGCCACAGACACGGGCCCAGAAAGCATGTTTCTGTGCTGCTTGGATGTCGCCTGGAGGGGTGGGAGAAGGAGACAGATGATGGTCATATGGCTATAGCTAGCTCCCAACCCCCCAAGCCCTTGCCCTTGAAGATGTGAATAGGAGGGAGTGCCTAGTGTCACATGTGTACCTGTTTTGGCTCCCGGGGTCAGGTCCTGAGCCAGAGTCCACCAGGTAAGATTCTGGGTCTGCAGGGAATGGGTAGGAATAGGGGTGTTGCCAGGTGGGGGGGGGTGGACCCACACAGGATCAGGGGTCAGTGATGAAAGAGGGCAGTTGAGTTCAAAAAGGGCCAGGGGCTGGGGCAGGCAGGGTTAGGGGTCAAGAACTAGAAAATTCTTGAGTCAGAGATGGTAAGGGGTCAAAATGGGACCTGAGTCAGAAATTGTTAAGGGTCCGGCGTCAGGGGTCAGGGCAGGCTCACCTGAGCACTCTGGGGCGGTGGTGTCAGCAGGCTCCCAGCCACCACCACAGCACCACTGAGTGTGAAGAGGGCAACAGCAAAGTGCAGGTAGTGAAAGTTGCTCAGGATGGCAGGCCGCGTGTCTGCGTGGCCGCAAGGCAGGACTGGGTTCAAGAATTCCAGGACCAGCCTCATGGCCCCCACCGCCAGCCCTGCCATCAGGCCCCAGAAGGCTCCCTGGGGAGGAGGAGGCAGGGCAGTGGGAGGCCGCTGGAGGAAGGTCAAGGTTCCCCCAGACACACACGGGTGGCAGGGGAACATTCAAACAAGCTGCAGCCCACCCTGGGAGGGGACTGAGACCGGCCCACACACCCTGTCCCCACCCAGGCCTCCTCCCCACCCACCTGCTCATTGGCACGCTGCCAGAAGATGCCCAGGACGAAGACAGCAGTCACTGGGGGTGCCAGGGAGCTGGTCACCGACTGCATGTAGATGAAGAGCTGCCCGCTGTTGGAGCCCTGCAGGACGGGGATCCAGGCCACACTCACGCCAATGAGCACCACGATGACCAGCCTGTGGGCCGGCAGCGGGCGTGTTCATCCCTCGACACCCTTCTCCTACCCTTCCCCACGTTCCCCTGCTCACTAAGTCTTGCTCTCCATCTGTCCCTTGCTGCCCCAGCCCCAGCCTCCTCCTTAGCCCAAGGTCCACTCTTCCAGGGACATGGTCAGTCCCACCTGATCCAAACCCTTCCGTGGCTCCTGGCCACCTGCAGGGACAGCCCCCGATTCAGCCTGTCTGATCTTCAGAGAGGTCCCCATGGCCCCCCAGAGTCTCCCTCCCACTTGTGTTCAATGTGCATGTATATTTGGATGTTTGCTTTCTTATTGTCTGTCTCCCCCTCCCAGCTGAAAGCACCAGGAGGGCGGAAGGCTCAGCTCTTTAGTTCACTGCTGCATCTCCTGGCACACAGTAGGTACTCAATAAACATTTGGTGACTGTGTGAATGAGCTGCTGACTTCACATTCAGGCCAGGCTGACCTCTTGGCAGTGCCTTCAATACAACATGCTCTCTCACACTAGGGGGTCTATGACCTCTAGCTGGCCCATTCTCTGCCCCCTACAGCCCTTGAGTGTTGACTCATCCATCACAGGATGACCTCTGTCCAAAGAATGCAAGGTGTGGAGCCAGGCATTCTGAGTTTGGATTAGGACCTGGACCCCTCAGACACAAAGCCTGAGACCTCAACCAGCCAGCGTGAACCCCTTCCCCTCCCTACCCTGTATGGATGCCTTTCAGCTCCTGCCTGCCTGTCTCCCCTCTTGGTGCGGGCCTCTCCACTGCAAGAACATGTTTCACTTGTTCATCCAACAAACTAGTCACTAAGAGCCCACCTGAGTACAGGGCACTGTTCTAGGAGCCCAGACTTGGTGATGAGCGGGCGCTGGGCCCTGCCCAGCACTCAAAGCTGAGCAGATGAGCCTGTCACCCTGAGCTCAGCGCTGGGCTAAGGGAGCCCAGAGGAAGCATTAATCCAGGGAGGCTTCCAGAAGGAGAGGGCCCTGGAGCCTTGGAGGGGTGTGTGACTCAGCTAAGGAGACAGAGCTTGAGCAAGGTGTTCTATCTACTCCTCCTTTAGCTGAGCACCCCTCAGCTTTGTGTCAGTTGAGTGCCCCTCATTCCTGAGGTAGGTGGTGGATGAGACCCCCTGGAATCCTGCACAGGACAGCAGGGGCGACAAAGGTTGCATGTGGAGCTGGGCTTGGTCCCCCTTCCTGCCTACCTGCCTGCCTGCCCACTTCTCTTTCTTCTGTTCCAGGGTTGCAAGCCCGAGGTGGAGGGTAAAGGAAGGAGGTGACACTTTGATTAAGGCTAAGTAACCCTTAGCCTGGCAGGTGCAGGCGCTGTCCTCTTCAAAGGCACAGGCAGCCTCCACTAACACCTGTCCCACCTTGCCCTCCTCACATAGGCTCCCGTAGTCCAACCCCAGACTCAGCATCTCTGCGTGGGGGGCTGGGGTCTCTCCAGCCAAGCCCAGAGTGGGGCCCTGGCCTTCTTGCTGCCCTCTAGGGTTTCCTCTTCTGACTCAGACACCACCTGACTGCCAGGGGGACCTCAAAACCACAGGCTGTTCCTTATGCCAGGAAGGCCCTTCTCAACTCCTCCCCCAGCAAACCTCCCCCATCTTCCAAGGCCTAGCTCAAGGCTCTCCTCCCCCAGGAAACCTTCCCGATTGCTGTCCCCCATCCCCCCATCCCCCCCCCACACACACAGCCCACAGGACGACTGGCCCCCTCCATTGATCCTGGGCTGCAGCGGTGGTCATAGGTGAGACCCTCAGGTGGTGGTGGAGGGAGGGGGCTCTGCTCTCTGTGGGTTCCCGTATTGTTCAGCTTGACACAGCATACCAGGGAGGCCTGGGGCGCTGTTTGCAAATAATAGAGAAGGTAGATAGAAGGGGGTGTAGGGAAGGGAAATGAAGGAAGAGAAGGACTGGGAGTGGGCCTGGAGCTGTCAAAGAGCCCCAGAGTTAGAGTTGTCACTGCCTTCAGGCCCGTGACAGCTCCTCTGGCCACCACCACAATCTGATGAGACCTTGGGATCACCAGCATGCCTCTGCTTGTCTCTGCCCCATGATGGCCTCCTCTCCAGGCTTCTGGGTGCCTTCTGCTACCTGCCCCCCATAAGTCTCCTATCTTCTTGGATTGAGGCTTCAGAAATGTAAGACCTAATATGGCCGAGGAAACATAGCTTGAATGGTGTTATTTTAGGCAGGAGGAGGCTGGAGGTGTCGGGGGGTGTCCCAGTGCTCCAGGAGGGAGGTGTGGTAGAGCTGAATCCCAGCCCGACACCCGGCATTGGGCCCTTTCCAGTTTACCAAACTGGAAAGGCAGTTGAGAGAACTGGGACCCAGAGAAGGTGAGCAATCTGCCCCACATCACACAGCCTGAAGGGGGTTGGCAGGGCCTGAGGAGGGGTGGGGTAGGGGTTGACTTGGTGGAAGAGAGGGAAGGAGGGTCAAGGGCTCAGTGGCTGGGAGTGAGCTGGCATAGAGGGGAGACCCGTTCAGGATTTTGGCCTCAGTTGGAAGCAGGAAAGAAGCCTGCTTCTGAGGAGGTTGGAAGGTAGCAGACAGGGTACATGGGGGCCACTAGGTGGACACTGAGGCTACTATTGTCCCAGGCCAGACGGCTAAGGCACACACTGGGTGACAGGAAGGCATGCACGTCCCAGTTTCCAGGATGACCAAGCACAGAAGGATTTAAGGAGGGGTCTGTCAGACAGGGATCGGCTCCAGGCCACAGCAGAGGAGGGTGGGGACACATGGCAGGAGAAGAGGTGGTCAGGGGGAGGAGTGCTGACACTGAAGCATCCTGCAAGGCGGGAGGGAGATGCTTCTTGTTTTGGAGGAGGACATGAGCCTGCAGATGAGCTCACACCTGCCTACTGTCTTGCATGTCCCAACAGCGCCCTTCTGACAGAAGCTGGCTGCTTTGCATTGCTGGGACAACTGCCTGGAGCCCCTGGGGAGACCCCACCCTGCCGATGGGTGCCATGGGCTCCAGGGCAGAGGGTGCACTGTTGGTTAAGCTAAGCACCAGGGGGCTGGGCCCCATGACCAGCAGAGTAGGGGCCACATGGTCTCAGAGGGAGGCAGGAGGGGAGGGGCTTGGGAGAGGGCCCCAACAGACAGACACAGGCACATCCACTGCTGAGTTCACCCCAAAAGGACTCCAGGTACCCAGCTGAGCAAGGGGATAGAGGACTGGACCAGACACAGCCCTTACCTGCCCCCATGGGGAGAAGCACTGGGGAGACAAGTTGGACCTATAAGGACCACATGTGCAGTGGAGGAATCTGGTGATAGCTCTCTGGAGGTGCTGAGGGACAAGGGGCTCATTCTTTGGTCAGGAGTATCAGGGAGGGCTGCATGGAGGAGGAAGCACTTCAGGTGAGTCATGGAGGTAATAAGGAGGGGGTAAGAAGGGCTAGGAGAAAGTGGGCGGAGCCTCAGTGAGGCCAGGGTTATGGGGGCTGGAGGGATAGTTGTGGCCTGAGTGTGGCCAGTCCTGAGTTCTGGCTCAGGCAAGGTCCTCTTTGGGACAGCTGGGAACCATCAGGAGGGTGAGGGGCTCAGATTTTGGAAAGACGGAGAGGTCTCAGGGATGGTTGAGGGAGGGCACTCTCCCCGGCTGAGACTCACTCAGAGATGCCACTCAGGGTAAGAGATGCATCCAAGATGAAGGCTGGGACTGTAAAATGGTGGCCAGCAGAGCGATGTGGGAGGTGGGATGGACAGGATAATCTGGCCTCTCCTCTCCTCTCCTTCCTGGCATCCTCCTCTCTCCAACTGGCAAACTCTTATTCATCCCTCAGAGGCCACTTCTGGTGGGGCCTCATGGGCTGGTCGTGTGGCTGGGGAGCTCCACTTCTCAGCCCCTCCCTGGTGCCAGCACCCACCCATCATACCGTCCCACCAGCAGCAGCTCCCACTCGCGAGCACGGGGACGCAGATGCCTCCAGATGTCCATGGTGAAGAGTGTGCTGCTGCTATTAAAGATGGAGGTCAGCGATGACATGAGTGCAGCCATCATCACTGCTATCATCAGCCCCCGCAGACCTGGGGTAAGGCACAGGTGCTACTTGAGCTTGTGGCTTGCTGGCAGTAATAGTCACAACTGTCACTGCTTCTATTGTTGTTGGTGCTATTATCAGCCTTCTCATTTCTATAAAGCCTTGTAGTTGACAAAGTACTTTCACACCCATAACTTCATTTGACAGAAGAATTATTAACCCATTTTACAGATGAAAAAGTGGAAGCTCAGAGAGCGGAAGAGACGTGCCCAGGGACCACAGCAGGCCAGTGGCAGAGCTCAGGGGTGGGGTGGGGGAATCAGGAAGGCCTAGGGCAGGACCCTCTGCTTGGAGGTCTCACTCTGGGCAGGGCTCAGTGGCCCAGCATGTGGGGCCTTCCTGTTCATGGCAAGCCCCAGCAGGCACAGGGGATTCCCTTTCTTGTTAGCTCTGTGGAAGATGAGATACAGTCCTCCAAGGGGAAAAAGAAAAATCCACCCTCTGATTGGCTGAAAAAGAGTGAGGGGTCCTCATGGAGGTGGGTGAGGCACTGCTGTACAATGCCTTCCAGGAGTCCTGGGCTGGAAAGGCCTGAGGGTGGGGAGGACTCAGTGCTGTGTGGCTTCAGGCTGATCACCTCTTCTCTCTGGATCTTACTCCAAGTCGGTCTCCAAGGCCTCTTATGATTTTTCTTCAAGCGTCTAAGCAACAGCCTGCCCGCCCACTTCCACAGATTTCCTGCCTGTCTGTCCTCCAACCTCTCTACACTAGGATAGGTCTGAACTGGCCCCCTCCTGAGGGCTCAGCCTTACAGGTGCCGTTTGTTGCCTGGCTGGGTTGCCTGACCCAGGTTCTGCATCTGACCAGCTGTATGACTTTCAGGCATCCCATGGGCCTCTCTGTTCATGTTTCAGGCTGACTGGGATGGGGCCCAAAGAGAAGTGAGTTCACAAAGTGTTTTGCCCAAAACATTTTTCCACCCTCCTAATCTTGCTCAGAGAGGTGGATTAACTCAGGATTTATACTCCACCCATATTTTAGACAGGGAACTCAAGGCCTAGAGAGAAGGTGTGGCCCAGTAGCGGCTGGGCGTCAGCCCTGGGGGCTTAGCAAGCCCCTCCAGAACAGAAAGGGAAGACGAGGCCCAGAGGTAGGAACCCACGCTTGCAGCCAAGCCTTATGCCAGGCAATTTCCCTAAATTATTATGTTTAATCCCCGCAGCAACCTGAGGGGTGGGTAGGCATCATTATCTCCAGTTTACAAACAAGGACACTGAAGTTCTGAGCAGGAGAGTGACATGCCCCAAATATCTCAGCCAACAAGTAGCAGAGCTGAGATCTGATCCCAGTCTGTGCCCTCATGTCCCCTGGGCCTCAGCTACCTGGGAGGGAGGGAAGAGCAGGGTGAGTCCAGAGAGCTTCCACAGGGGACGCCAGAGGGAGGGAGGTGGACGCTCAAGGGTCTGGAAATCCGGAGGTGAAACTGGGCTGCAGAGGGCCTCAGAAAGCTGTCTGCTCTTTTTGCTTAGGTGGGACCTCCAACGCCCTTGCCGTCAATTTGTTGCACACCTCCTGTGACTGGGACCTCACCACCCCATATCACACTGGTGAGACCTCCCACACCCCTTACCATATTACTTCTGCTTGCATAGCTCTTGTGACTGGGAACTCATCACACCATATCACACTGGCAGGGCCACTGCTGCCATGGGAAAGGTGGAAAAGGTCAAAACCTTCCCCATAGTTTACCTGTTAGCCCACAGTGGCTCAGGGAGGCAGAAGGTGCAGGCTCACAAGGGGGCTTGAGCTTCTGATCCCAGCAGAGTAAGCAGTGGGCTTCAGGCTAGACAGGCTGGAGTTTGTGGCTCAGCCACTCGGTCGCCTTAGATAAGCACTTTTCCCTCTCTGTGCATCACTTTCCCTATCTGTAAGATGTAGCTAACAACTCCCTCACAGCTTAAAGGAGAAACAGTTTGTAAAAGGGCCTGGCACCCAATAGGCCTGGAGGAAGAGAAAGTAGCACCCTTTCTCAAGGGATGGGACAACACAGAGGACAAGTTATGAGGACAAGTTCCTGAGGCAGATTCTCCAGGTTTAGACCCCAGCTTTGCAGCTCACTTGCCACGTGACCTTGACCAAGTCACTTAGACTCTCTGGATCTCAGTTTTTCCATCTCTAAAATGAAGATGATAATAACAGCACATAAGGTTCCTGCGAGTAAGATGCAAGTTACTCACATGTGAAGCTGTTGGAACAGTGTCTGGCATGTGGTGAGTGCCATGTGAGTGTTTTCTATTACTATACTTTCCTCTCTTCCCTGATGAGCAGAACATCCCATCTAGATGTCACACAGCACCACATTGGCTTGAGAGTGCCCCACCAGTCCCCAGCTCCCTTTACCCTACTTGGTCCCATTTGAAGTTCCCCCTTACCCACCCCGACCCCACCAGAGCCTCACCGATGGGCATCAGTTCCATGACTAGCTTGGGGTAGGCAATGTTGGAGCAGCCGATCTCTGCCCCACAGGCCCGCAGGCACTCGGACGCCACCACGCAGCCCACGTCATCTGCATGAGAGAAGTGCCCAGAGTCCCACACCTGCCCCACAATGGCCCTCCAGACAGACGTGAGCACCTGGGGTGGGCAAGACCCGGGCCAGGGCAGGGGCCTGGCCTGGACCTGCTTCGTTACTGCCTCTGACCAGCTGCTGCTTGGCCCTGGGCCTCAGTTGCCTAGTCTGGGTCGTGAGGAAGGGGCTAGCCTCTGAGAACTATTCTGTCCCCTAAGGCCCTGACTAGTCTCCCTTCCCCCGTCCTGCCCCTGGCCCCAAAGGGGCACATGGAGGTTAGAACCTTCTTTCACCTCTGGGGCGGGAGATTTAGGGCAGGACCATTTCCCTGACCCCCACCCTGAGCTGCCTCCAGGAGCTTCCAGAGGACATTTAAAACAAGAGGGGAGACCATCACCCCTTGCCCAGACTCTGCTGGCTCAGGCTCTCAGCAGTTCACAAGCCCCTCCATCATCCAGACCCTTGCCCAGGGTCCCTAAGGGCTCATCTCCTTCCCTGCTTCCCTCCTCCCAGGTGCCAGCCAGCTGGCCTTCCAGCCCTTCCTCCAACACCAGTCTTCCGCCCATCCCTCCCAGGAGGCTTCTGTGGCCCCTCTACTTGGAGTGCCTCTTCCAGGCATTCCCAGGGATCTGGCTCAGAGGTCGCCTCCTCCAGCTGAAATAACCCCTCTCTGCTCTCCTGCCTGTCACCTCCTCCACATCCCTTTTCCTCCTCTGGATGAGTTGGGCACGTTTCTTTGTTTCTTGCCTCTTTCCCATGGCGGGGGCCTCGGTAAAGATGGGTCCTCGATCTTGCTGTGGCCTTCTCCCTAGTGGTCTTGCTGTGGCCATCCCCCCACTGCTCCTTTGGTGAGTGAATAGAGGAATTAACGAATGTCACGGACCTCAGCCCCGACCAGGACTGAGCCCTAAGTCCAGGCCTCCCTATCGAACCACTGGAGCAAAACCCTGTTTGGGGCAGGAACCTCAGCGCTGCCCAGGGGGCCGCCCTGCATGAAGCCCCCTCAGGAGCCACACTCTGGCTCACATATGGCTCCTGTGGGGTCTGCTCCTTCACCCCCATGGCAGTTGGGGGCTCATCTCTGCCTGGCTCACCCGCATAGTGTAGGTGATGGGTAGAGCCAATCCCATGTTCACTTGTTCCTCCAAGAAACACTTTCTAAACACCTTTGGTTCCTGTCTCTCTGGGGTTTTTCAGCAGAGGCCCCTGGAGCACAGAGAAAAGGAGGAGATGGCAGTTACAGAAAAGCTCAGAAACAGAAGCTGCCCCATGGTGCCCAGAAGAAATGGGAATGGAGCTGCTGGGCCACAGAGGCCTATTCGAGGGTCTGGGGTGGGGGGTATAAGGTTTCCACATGGAGGGCATCAACGTTTCCATGCCACATTGCTCCCTGTGCAGACAGGGCACTCCTGGGTTTTAGCACTAGCCCTTCCAAATGCCCCTACTGAAAGGTAGTTCCTTAGATGGCCACCCCATGGGGGTGGGGGGGGGGTGTCTTGGATCCCTGCCTCTAGGCCAGAGGGCTGGAGTACTGTCACCCTCCAGCCCATGACCCCACATCCCAGTCCAGTCCAGCCTCTCTTGAATTCCAGGTCTCCAGGACGCCTGCTCCCTGTCACGCCCCAGGCATCTCCAATCCGATTTACCCCCTTCCCCATCCTTGTCCCAGGGATGATTGCCTGTCCTTCCTCCTCCCTCCCCCAACCTGCCCTCGCCCCCAGTCCTATGGCTTCTCTTGCCATCGCCCTGCCTACCTCACTCAGATCCTGCCCTGGCTCCATCTCCTCTCCAGAAAACCTGGGCACCAGCTCCTCACTGCCTCCCTCCTTTCCATCCTCTCCACCCTTTCAAAATCACAGCTTTGTTCATACCATTTACTTCTCAGGAACCCCCTCCACACCCCCACACCCCTAGAGCCCATGGCTTCCTGGGAAGAAAAATCCCTTGCATGGCATTCGAGGCCCTTGACAAGTGGTCCCAGGTCCTCCCATCCAGCACCCATTCACCAGCCAATACAAACCTGACCTATTTAGATTTTCTCATACACACCCAGGCCTCCTCCTCCCTGTGCTCCATCCCTCTCCCTGTTTACCTCTGCTTCATGGCCCATTGCAAAGGGCTTGTCCCTGAGGCCTTCCTTGATTCTCTCCCCACTCTCTCCCAGGGCAAAGTAGCTTCCTTGTAAGGGCTTCTAGGCTGAGGGCTGAATCACAATTGTGTGCTTGCATATTTTACCTCCCCTACCAGAGTGGGAGCTCCCTAAGGGTGGACAATGGGTTTGAATCATCTCCCAGTCCCAGGTATCACGTAGTTCAGGGCTGGGCCCAGAGGAGGAACGTTGGGAGGAAGGAGGAAAGGAAGGCATGAGAGGAGAGAAAGAGAAGGAGAAAATATCCGAGAAAGAACCATGAAAAAATTCAGGCACTCTTTGATCCAGCTGCCCTACCCAGCCACCCCCACCCCCATCAGGTGTGCAGATGAGAGCACTCAGGGACAGGAAGGGCATCAGTTGCCTGGAACACATAGTCAGATCCAGGACAGAGCCCAGAGCCCCATGCCAGGGCTCTGCTGCCACTGGGTCCAGCATCCAGAGGGTAGGTGATGGACCCCGCCTCTTGACAGGTTCTGGGCTTGGACTGGCTGCCTCTGGCGGCATGAGGAGCCAGCCCTCCTGGGAGGGACAGAAGAAGAGTCAGCTACATAATGGATGGCTCCGAAAGCCCGAGTTGAGATTCTTTTTGGTCAGCCTATTCCAGGCCCCGTGGAGCAGCCCCTCTGGGCATTGCAGTTCAGTGTGCCTACACAAGTGTTTGCGCTGAACAGCAAGAAAAAGCAACCTCTCGTTTAGGATAGCAGCAAAGGTGTTGCCACTTAAACAGAGTCCCTGAATGTGTCAACCCAGGAGTGAGCAGCCCTGGGACAGCGAGGGCCAGGGACCTGGGCAGGGGGCTTCTGGGTTTGCCAGAGCACCGGCTTCTGTGGAGCAGGGGGCTCCCCCACAGGGCTCCACATTGGCATCAGCATCCACATACAGCCAAGGGCCCACACTAGAAGCCTGGGAGTTGCTAGTTTCCTTTCTCCCAAGTCCTCCCTCCCTGCCACCAATGCCAAGTCCAGTCACTGGGCATAGTGACCAGAGGAACTGCACCACCTCCTGACTGCACCACCATGCCCCCTCTAAGCCAACCTCCCTGTGGGCAGAAGAAACAACTTCTAAAACCGCCAATTTGCTCATGCTCCTCCCTGCGCACATCATTCTGTGGCCCTCCATCCCCTGTAGGAGGAATCACGAGGCTTTAACTGCCACTCATGGACCCCCACCCACTTAGCTACCCTCACTCCCACCAATTTCACACATACCTTTGGGCCTCTGTGTTTGCTCTTCCCTCTAGAACACCCTTCCCTTCTTCCTAAACCCAGGGAGCTCATACTCATTCCTCTCAACTCTGTAAATGTCTGGGTTCCTGAGGCTCCAGGGAAACTTCCTCCATGGCACCAGCTACTCTGTGATCTGCGTCTGTCTTGCCTCCCTATAGTCTGTGACCAGGAAAGGGCCAGGTCCCAGCAGTGCCCAGCACAAGCCAATGCATGGCAGGCTCTGCCTGTGTTTGTTGACCGACTAAATGACCCTTTCCCAAGCTGGCCACTGAAATACCACCTTGAGGGCTAATCAAGATGCTCTCATCCCCGAGCCAGGCCTGACTGATCCCTGGGAGCCAGTCCAGATGCCAATGTCACAGTCGGGAGCAGGAGAAAAGTACACAGACCTGGGTTCAGCTCTCCCAACCCTTTACTCTGTGATCCTGGGTAATTATTCTCTGAGGCTGTTTCCTCCACTGTAAAACCCTTCTAGGGACACCCACAGGCCAAAGCTAACTTCAACCTAAATTGCATACCTTACACAAAAATTAACTCAAAATAAATCACAGATTTAAATGTACAACTCTCAAACTTATAGGGAAATAACAGGAGAAAATCATCGAGACCTAGGGCAAAGTGAAGAGTTTTCAGACTTGACATCAAAAGCATGACCCATAAAAGGAAAAATTGATAAATTAGATCTCATCAAAAAGCTTGTGCTCTGTGTAAGATACCTGAGAAAGGATGAAAAGAAAAGCTACATAAATGACATCAGCAGAGTTGCAAGAAAATCAATAAAGATCAGTTGCGTGTCTATACACTAACAATGAACTATCAGAAAGAGAAATTAAGAAAACAATCCCGTTTATAATTGCATCAAAAAGAATAAAATACCTAGGGATAAATATTTGTACACTGAAAATGTATAAGACATTGATAAAAGAAATTGAAAAAGATACAAATAAATGGAAAGATATTCCATGCTCATGGATTGGAAGAACTCATATTCCTTTTTTTTATTATTATGAAATACACATTTTTTAGAATTAGTTTCAGCTGTACAACACAGTGCAATAGTTATACTTTTTACCCCTCGAAGTGACAACCCC